ATAGCTACAATTTTCCTGAGTGCAATAGACTATAAAACATCACGCTACAATTAAATGGAGCCGAGCAGCGGGTGAAATAGCGCGAAAGTAGCTAGTATAGAATAAAAATACTTAGACAAAAAATAAAACCCCAACAAAAGTTTAAACACTAATCTAAACTCCGTATTCTAAGGCAGACAGCAACAATTCATAAGCACGTAGTAACGAGTTACCGAATGCACCCGCTCCCGCTGCACGGCACGGTAAATAACTGTAAATACGGAAACCACTAGGTTACCTAGACTTGGTACAATGTAACCCAGGTTAGTATGCACGATACGGCACGGTAAAGTGTAAGTTACTTTATCACAGGATCAAATGAGAATTTCAGTGTTAATTATAAATCTAAGACAGTTTTAACGGGTTCTTGAGAGGATAATAAACTACGTAGTTAAAGTTGAATTTTATTATAATGTTCTTGTCTAGTGGCCGAAAGTGTAACTATCGGGCAAGCGGTTCCAGATTTGAAAGATTATAATCGTGACTTTGGATTGGATAGATTTTTATTGTGAATTTGTATTGCAAGTTCTCAGTAATATGTAGTGTAGTGTTTGGGGACGAAGTTGTCCTTTATGACACAGGATGGAACAAACAATAGTGGTGAAAACTGAGCGTTCACAATGAATGTGTCCAACTGCGCAAGTATGAATATAGACCCATGTTTAAAGTCAGTTCGCATGGCTTATTGCGTGTTAGTATTAAACATTTAGGTGCTGAGCTCGATTCTTTCGCTTGAGCTGAATTCGAAAATTGGGACTTCTAGGTAAAGGCATAGTGAATACATAGGTATTACTTTCAGAAGAACAGACATCTCTATTTTTAAATAGCCTATAAAACAAGATAAAAAATAATTTGTTCACTTCAAAAATATAATGTAGAAACGGCTGAAAAAAGTTCTATAATATAAGCAAATCACTAAAGAAAATAGTCGCGAAGTCCAAGTTAAGAAACAGACGATAAAATTTACAATTCCGTGTGTCAGTTCGGCTGCACTGGACAAATAGTAAAACTCTTCCGTGCGAGTCGGTGCGCTGAATTCAAATGACGTAAACAAACAAACACGCCGCATATATCGATGTGTACCGACTTACTATTTAGCTTCTGACAGGAATGATAGATAAATTAGTTTTTTTGTAATTTTGAAGTGTGGAAGCGCCATGCTTCGGCACGAATGGGTCGGTTCGACCGGGGTGATACCACGGCCTCACAGAAAACCGGCGTGAAACAACCACAGAGTTGTATTTCGCCGTATGAGTGAGGTTACCGGAGGCCCAATCCTTCTCCTCCCCCAATCCCTCCTCAATCCCCAAATCTTCAAATCCCTTATCCCTAAAACGTCGGCAACGCACTCATAACTCCGTTGCGGACATGGACACCCATGGGCGGCGCTTTTTACTTACCATCAGGTAATTCGTCTGCTAGTTTGCCGAGCTATTACATAAAAAAATATCCATTGTTAGTTACGTTTTGTCTTTATTTCCTCTATATAACACTTGATAGAATATAAATGGTTGTCAAGTATCCAATTGCCCACAGATAGGGCCCAAAATGGATCGGTTCAGGCAGGGTTGCCGGGCGAGCGCAATGAGTTACCACTGCCTCGGCCTGAAGCAGGAGAAGGACCGGTATGGCTTTTAGTCAGTAAGAGTCTGACACTCTATCTCGCCTCACCCTGGGCGAGAAAAGACATTTGATGAGTTTTCTCCAAAAGTACCAAATATATGTAGGTACTTGGTGATTGTTATGTGAATAACATTACCTACTCTTATCTAAAAATCGCGGGTTACTCACGTGTAAATATTGAGAAAAGCTCAATTAGTTTCGAACCACAGAGGGGTTCTTCCTTATGATCAGCGTGCGCGGACGCGGCGACGTCGCGCAGCCTACTCCTACCCCTCTGTGGTTCGAAACTAGTAGAGCTTTTCTCAATATTTACACGTAAGTAACCCGCGATTTTTAGTTAATTTAGTATTTCTCACGATAGTTATTATAAAAACATTACCTACTCTTGTTATTCCACAGAACTGGAAAAACTGATGTGTTTAGTTTGATGTAACCCTTTGATATAACACATTAGAAATTCTAAAAGTACCTATCTTGCTAAATTCTAATCACTTTTGAGAATTACTTATGTTGTTTTCCTAACGCCCATAAATATTATAATTATCTAAATAACATAATTTCACTTTTTCAAACGGCCTGATTCGATAAGTCATACTGCAAGAGAAAAAAAAGGACGGGCACTATTTTGTACTGTAGTGAATTGTAGTATGACAGCGTTGTTATAGAGTTGTGGAATTGATTCCCGCGGCGTCACCTCTCGCGCTCTCTGGCTGATCACTCATTCGGTATTCGCGATATCCAATTTGTCGGAACTCCTCCAAAACATAGCAATCTGGTTCCTCAGTGAAACTCAATTAGTGACACACCGAAGCTTTCATATGTTTTTTTCTTTGCACTACAATCTGACCGAAATTGTCGTATTGTCGAGCATATGATTTGATTGACAGAAAATCGATTCACTTTTAATTAATTTCGAAGCGAATATCTCTATTTTTCTCCTGTAAAAGGACGGTAGGCATTTATTAGGGATAAAACGTATTTTATCAATTTCGAAGCCTAGTTTGTTATAATATTAAATGATAATTGAGATGAATGTAGGTAGCTTATAATTGAAATTGTTTTGTATTTGCGATAGATTGTCTAGTAATCTTAGCAATCATTTAATTGGGAAATCCATTGTCCCCAAAGTATTACAAGAAAGTTTTTTGATACTTTGGTTGAAAATATAGTATTGCAACAACTGCAGTTATCATTACAAGTTTGGGACATAATATACAAGCCACTGTTCAAATTATGACATTTATTTGATAATTTTGTTGGATATAGTACCTAAAAAGTTTGAAATGTTTTATCAAAACAGAGATATGTCCGTCTTGAGAAGCTCTTTATCAGTTGACGGCACACTTTCTCACTACTCTACTAACTTGTTTTCAGTAAGTATGAAATATAGTGCTGAATGTCGGTGTACGCGACGCGACAACGCAACGCTTCGCCCAACAAAACTCTGTTTATATTTAATAGTAGTCTTCGTGTTTTAGACGCATTATATGTACGTGTCTATCCATATTCTTTTTATCTTTACAAAGTAATTATTAAATCGACAAAATGGTATAAGAATAGTTCAAATTGTTATCATAACTATTACACTGTTCTAGAATTCAAGCTACCACTGAATTTGTAAAAATATGTATTTAGTAAGGCCTTATTAGACCCTGATCAAATCCAAGTACTCATATACTAATGTCTAATAGCCCAGCTAGCTTTAAGTTAAACAACGAAGTGCACTTTAAATAAGTTACAGAATTTAAGTAAATAGAAATATGTAAGAATAAAAATAGAAATAGACCACGGACTAGTTTAAATAAAATATTCATAACCGAATGACAATAAGTTTGGAAAGTAAAAACTTCATGAATAAACTTGTTACAAAAACGTCACTATATTCACACGAGCTTTTCTATACATGAAAATTCTAACAAAGGGTAGTTGCATTCAATAGATAGAAAGAGTTCGTTTATTTAGGAGTTTCCAGTAATTAGATAAACTGCAGCGTAACACTTATCTGTGATGCAAAAATATGCTCTACTATGTAAGTGAGTAAAGTCCAGGAAGGACTATCAGTCGGCTGTCAGCCCACTGGCTTGTTGTTCCAAGTTGAGCAACTTTCCCTCTTCACACGAAATCGACGCGATGAATTATGCATGAGAATTAAGTTTGACGGCAGATAAGCGGCAGAAAGATTTATTTGCCGATATGATGTGTAGAAAACAATCCAACTTGTTCCCACTTTCTGAATTATGGTCGTTGTTTTATTGTAGGCACGTCAAACGTTCACTAAGTTTTGGACAGTTACCTTAAACTTTATTTACGGTTTTTCTTGGCTGTAGAAACGCATCGATACACAAACATCGAAATCTTTGTCAGTGACGATATATGTAAAACGTAAATCACTAATATTCTATTAGGGTATTGTGTATTTATCATTTCTTAAATGTCACACAAACACGGAATCGGTATTGTGGCGGTGTAGCCTTTTATCAGAGTTACGCACGCTCTTACAGGACCTTCCCGGAAATTTAACTTCGTTAAGAATGAAATATGCCCCGTCGTTATTCCACGGCTTGTTGCGCGAATACTTACATTTCGAGCTCTCCACCTCTAGTTTTCTCATCAGACCCAACGGAAATAATTTCAACCGAGACTGAATTATGACAAAACTCCGACGGACATTGCCGCATCCGTAATGAGAATGAAGTCGAGATATGTCCGTAATTTATTATCACATGCTCCGTGAACGTGCAATTCACTCTGGAAAATTGACTGTTTTTATTTTACTATAAATTATATTTGCGATAGTTACTTGTGTATTGAGGGAATAAGCTCATATTCATGACCAGCCCTAAGCGTTTACAATGTAGCGGCAGAGAGCAATAAAGCGAGCAGTAGATAAAGTGAAATAGTAGGTAGGTGGGGTACAAGGAAGTATTTAATTAAATCTAGCGGCGGGGGCTCCAGGCCGCTTTACATCACCACCGCTAATCACAGGTAGGCCGTCGACACGTTCGCCTATTTGAATACCAAACTGTTATTTTGTAAATGCCAGAACACTCATTAACCAGTGCTTGGTTAAACAGTATATGGTTGTTTAGCTATTATACCAGTAAAATATTGGAACTTTTGTATTTTAGGTTTTTATGTAGTGTACCTAAAGTATATATAAGTATACGATTCTAGGGCCTTAAATTTATGATAACTACAAATGATATAGAATTATTTTTATCAACGAAACTTTTTACAAGTTTAAACTCCACGATCAATCTAAACGTCAGTTCTTTTACAAATTGAATAAAATTGTGACTTTTCCGTTTAATATCATTTTGTAAAAAATATTTTTTAATATGAAGAAAACTGATGTTTTTCGTACACTTGAGCAAGGTGAACGTGTAACTAGCATTTATGCGCAAACTTACTTAAATGATGATTATTGTAAAGACAAGAAGTCTAATGAGAAATCTGAAACCCCGGTCAAATTTCAAGAAACAGGTCCTGAATTTGAAGAAACAAGTGCGGATGATGAGTGGATATCTCCCAGTGATTTATTAATTGGTGTTGTAGACCTAAAACCCCCTTTTACATCAAAAATAACAAGAGGAATTACTCATCAAGGCATCCTAAATATAGGAGATGGTGTATTGAAAAAAGAACGTGACAGATTTTTAGAACATATGAGGAATGTCATCAGCGAAAATGATGTTGCATGGAATCAAATATTGGAACATGAAAAATCCTCTGTAGCAAAAAAAGTTAAAGAAACCTATCATAAAATTCTAATGGAAAAAAGTAAAATTTTAATGAAAGAAATTAATATATTTTATGAACAAAGTCTACAAGAACTGGAAGATCACCTGCAGACTGAAATTCAGAACGTATTGGTTACTGCACATGCTAATATCATCAGTGATCTTAATTTTGAAATAAGAGATAAACTGAAGAAAGAAAAACTGATTTTAGAAGATGTTCTACAAAAAAGGTTTGATAGTGAAGTAAAAAAGATAACGCACTATTATAAATTGCTACTGGATAATGAGATTTACAGAAATCAAAAACTAGTCAATCAGGCAATTATTGAGAGGAATGAGGCCCTTAAAGCTTTTTATAAGCAAATAGAAGCACAAAACATCACGAGTACTATGTATGTCATGTGCACCGAACGAAAAAAATGCAAAATACGTAAGTTTCTTTTAGAGAATATTCATAGTACTGAAATTGCTGAAAAACTACAAAAAATTAAGGAACGTCAGGAAATTATAGATTCTTTTAAATCTAAAGAAAGGAAAATATCTGACATAAATAAGGAATGGGAAACTAAAATAAAAAAAATACTGAAGCTCTTTTTAAAGTTTGTCAGTTTTAGTTTAAAACTGCTTCCCGAACAAACGACATTTTTGCTTGACCTGGAGAAAATGGTTGTGTTACAACTAAATGAAATGCAAAAAGCGCCTATGAATAATACTTCTATCTTAATTGATACAGATGAACAAAATATTTTACAATTTGAACAGCCTAAAAAGGAAGACGTCGTTTGTGATAAAGAACCGTTTGTAATTGAAGGTGACCTAAACGATCCAGTTCCGCCACAATACGGCAGTAGAGAAACCTTAGCATCAGATGTGGATCTTCCTTATATCCGACTTCAGAGGAAGTTTGTATATGCCAAATGTGGCAAAATGGACGAGGTAAGAGCATTTCTAGAGTCACAACGATGTAAATGCCAGGATCCAGCTCCTGATTCCGAGTCACCTGATGTGGAAGAAGAAACTACCGCTGCTGAGGGTGCAGAAGTAGTTGATGAAGCTAAAAGTGAATCTTCATCATATGAACCTTTACTACTAGATGATTTCGAAATACTTAAAAACTGTCCCGCAAGAAAATGTCAAGACTGGGTGAAAAAATATAGCTTTCCGTGGTTGGTTTCCTATTTGGATTTTAGTGAAGAAAATTATGAGAAGGTTAAAACAATACTGGGCAAATTACCGGATCAAGACCCTATTCCTGAACTAATAAATCCCAAGGACATGATCAATCAAGAGCTGCCATTTGCTGCTACCAAAGAGCCATATCGTAACGTTGGGACACAATACTCCAGCCAAGAAGATGTTTCCATTAATTTCACATGTCCTTGCATGGGTGATGAGGGTAAAAATGTAAAAATCACGGAATCTGAACCCAAAGTTACAATTGCTGAAAGTCAGGAAATTAAAGATATAGTTCTGCAACGACAACAATCATTGCAAAGATTATTAAAAGATCACCCCAGACTACTGAAACTGTTTACGGATGAAGGCTACGATTTTGTTTATCCAGTTAAATAGGTTGGTATCATGTCAACATTTTACTTTATTCTGAAAATTGTTACTAAAAATGTTTTGAATAAATTGTTCTTACATTCTAAAATAATTATCTGTTTCGTAATTCAATAAAGGTAGTCATATATCTACACGCCAATAGACACAATATGCTGGTCTAATTGAACCAGGTGTGAGTATAAACTGCTGACGGAGATCACAAATTACTAGATGTATCCTTGCGGTTACTCGTTAAACTCTATTCATTTGTTCTTGTTTGCTATACGGTATCTGCTTACGAAGAAAGTTTGGATGTAGTATACGTAAAATTTTGCTATAAAATAACTGTTCTAGGAAGCTTCGGAGGTACGGAGAAAGATAAAACTTTTCTGCTACTAATTAACGTTAATAAGTAGACTACAATTTAAATGAAAACTGTTATGCATATGTTGTTATTCGATGTTGTTGATAAAGTAAATTATTTTTAGAAATATTACTGATTACGTAAGATCCGACGTTACAGTTGTATTTTATCTTAAACAATTGATAGGATGTCAACAGATTACAATAAAACAGTGTGAGTGACAAACATATACTCGACAATGATATAAATTAGATCGTTAGCTAAGAATAATGTAGGGACGGGTGTGCTTGGGTATATTGGGTGTTAAGGTAAATTTACACAAGTCCCGTAACAAGTTAACTTATTAAGTCGTCAGCGTGACGACGCGAGACGAGGCGAGGCGAGACGACGCGACTCATCGCATTCCTAACGTGGGGCACATTTAGCATAACATTACTCGTGTCGCCATATTTAATTATTGTTTTATTAAATGGAAACCGTATTATGCGAGCATAAAGTCAGTGTGTGGTTTCCTGGAGCCTTAGTCCCACTGCGGCGCTAATATTATTAGTTTGTACCTGCCGGTTTATATAGTTTAGTGTCTTAAATTAATTCGACATTATTCTCATTTCGTTTTTGAAGGAAATTTAATCTGTAGACTTCACCTATGTATTTATTCTGCCTGCCTACGAATTATATTACATTTACTGAAACCATAAATATTTGAGTGATGGATTTGTAAGAACCTAAATAGTTTTTCTATGTATTCAACATCGTACAAAAACTGAACGACAAGTAAAAGTTAGCTTTCTACAAAATTAGTTCAAACAAAGTACTTTAATGAAAAACATTTCGAAAGTAAACAACCCTACAAATAACGAAACAAAGCGTTCAGTTAATTAAACGTAAGCTTGCAACGTTGACAAGCAAGTCTTTATATCAAGGTACAATCACAGTACAACAGGTTTGAACAAAACAATCATAACAACGTTCGTTATTAGATTATTGTCAGCGTTATCAATAAATACGAATTCACAATAACAATACAGAATGGGAGCGTCCGACGACAAACTTCGATAAAGCTATACCTAGTGGTGTACCCATACTGGCAGTCAATATGGTTAACACTTAACCATTTTTAACAAACGTTTGACCACCTTTTTAATTAATGTTAACATTATTGGCAGTATTTTAACGTCTTGTCTGCCGGTATATGATATACAATAGACAACAAATTGTGTCTCGCGTGGATCCACGCTCGAGTAAGTACCACGGGTTAGGAAACACTTTTTTTTATTTTTTCAATTTTAATTTGCCATCTGATAACTAGTAGAATGATCTAAAACCTTTAGGAGAATGAAACAGTTCGTAACATTTGTAAGTAAATTTATAGTTTAAGAAAATTTGTTAACATAGTATTTGACTCAGCGCCGTATGGACAATACTTAGGGTAACTAGTTAAGTGCCTAGGGCACCAGGTTGTGGAGGGGCGCCACAAGATGGACGTGCCCATAGAGGGCCCTAGGAAGTGGTTATCATAAAAAATAGGGACCTCTATGAGGTGACTACCTAGGGTGCTATCCATCTTTAATCCGCATCTAAGGTGCATGTCATCTCTACCTAAAAATAAAACAATAACAAAGTATTTTTTTCTGTCTCCAAATCCTTATGTATGATTAAATATATTTAAAACTACGCAACGGATTTTGATAAGGTGAAACAAAGAAACAATTAATTTATTTTTGCAAATAGGCCATGAAACGGCACTTATACACGTCAAATAATATGTAAAAAAGTAGATGCAGCCGATTTGCGGTTTTTATAATAGATAGAGTAATTGAAGAGAAAGGTTTATTGGTATAATAATATTCTTTAAATAGTAGAGAAATTTAGTATCAGCAGCGCCCGTGCGAAGCCGGGGTGGGGCGCTAGTTTTCAATACAACAGAGAAAGCTTCTCACTTTAAACTTATCGATACAAGCGAATAGCAATTCAGTTTGTGAAGAACTTGAATGCGATCAATAATTCATTGAGGAGTGTCGGCTTGATTTATAACTTTTGTAAACTTTTTCATTGTTAATATATTTTTTATTGTGGACTGGTGAACTGCGTGAAACTATGGTTTCATTAGCTGGGTAAAGTATGTGATACGTAGGTACATTTTAAAACCACCTTTACATAGGCAATAAGGTAATAGGGTTGGTAATGATGTGATGTTATTCTTTAACTTTCTATTTTCGTAGAGTTATTTTCTACTTTTCTTATTAAAAATCTGATTGGTGATGAGAAAAAGCAACTTCGTTGAATATACTCGTGTAAGTTTTTTACTTATTATTTCCATAAAAAGGAAACGTACTCAGCCATGTACAATGCTTTTGTTTAATTTCAAAAGAAAGAAGACAATAAGGAAATAATGCAGTTTAAATACAACAGTAACAGAAGAAGTACTAAAGCCTTAGTTATCGTAGCTCTTGCTGTAACTTTTATACCAATTTTACTATCGCCGGGCGAAGTTAAACAGTGTTATGCTAAGTTGACGTTTTGTCATTCCATAATATTGTGTTAAGCGCCAGTTCCCGTGAAATCTGACACAACTGCACCGACTGAATAAACTTAGCAACTTCTACGTGAAGAGTTCATTCATCTTTTGATTCCGTTTCTATTTTACAAACTACTTTTCAAGTTAATTTACTTTGGTTCTGTTGCGACATCGCGCATACCATCGTACGCTGATAACGAATGATAAAATGCTTTCGTGAATTATTGTGTTCAGCTTAAATGACATTTGTGAATGTGGTTGTATCAAATGTAAGAGAATTTCATGTTGATTCAGTCACGTTATGTATCTTCGACAGCTTCACTTTTACCTATATAGTGAAAGTTTTTAAATAAATCACCTCTTCGTAATATAACTAAAGACCGAAGTCCAAAGTCATAGAAACTTATTTCAATGAAACTTGATTCTCGTACGTTGTAGGTACATCAAGCCGTGGTGGCCCGGAGGTTAAGGCGCTCGCTTTTCCTACGTGCGAATTCGATCCTGGCAAGTATCAATGTAACTTTTTCCGAGATACTTTATATGATTATTTAGACACCACTGGAATACGGTGAAGAAAAACATCGTGAGGAAACCTGCAGTATATAATTATAATTTATATAATTATAAGTTTGAAATCGCCAATTCGCCTTATGCAAGCGTGGTGATTAATGCTTAAACCTTCTCCGTGTGAGAAGGGGTCTTTGCTCAGAAGTGGGCACTTATAGGTGATTGAATACAAGTTTTTATTAAATAGTGTAGGAATTTCTATGATTTTGTCTTTAGGAGTTTATAGAAAACCGGGCCGCGTAAATGCTTATAATTACTTTACACTGTCACAAGATTGTCGAATTTCGCGCTCAGTGCTCGCTCTTGCGATTACTAAATCAACAAAACGGTGTACGTACAGTCAGCTCCAAAAGTCGATGAACAGAATCAACTTACCAAAACACCTGTTCACAATAAAACGCCATAAGTTATAGTCGCAACTAGGAAACAAAATAGCCTGTACACCAGAAATTTACAAAAGTCGTTACACACGACTAATTCAAAAGTATCTGTGCACTAGTATTCCTAAAGTCGCTGTACACCTTCAATCCAAATGTCGCTGAACATCATTGTATCAAAAGTCACTAAACAGCGGTAAAGACAAAATTAGGTTAACAAAGTATATGTCGGCGCACTGGCCATCAGTGCATGTAAAACCTCTTTGTTATAAGTCGATGTCAAACTTCACTGTCATAATTATTTCAAGTCCATAGCGAACACTGAGCTCTGGTGAGGCGGCCTTCTTGTAAAACAGGACAATTAGTGTTGGACCTTCGTAGAATACGCACGCGGCCACGTGTTCGGTGGACGTTAATTTCAAATTCAACCTAATCTTAATTATCCTTAGTTAAATTGTAATTGTTGTGATTGTAATATCAAGAGTTGTAAGAAGAGTGATTATAGCAACAGTTATTTTATTGAAATACTGTCTTCCTGCCCAAGCGGGGCACACTTCCACCGTATATTCTACCGTGTCCTCCGGGCGATCTATGCTAGGTGACACCCAAACGTTTCCTCCGAACAAGATAAGAAAGAAAACAGCGTTTTTCAGCGTCGGTGTTTGTCGTAGTTGGGTTTTAGTTTTTATACTTTTTATTATTTGTACTATTTTGGTGTTAAAGTGTATTTGTGTCGCATAATATCAACAAAAGAATGAACTAATATTAAGTAGTAAAAGGTATGAACGAAAAGATGTGATTGATATGCAATCAGCACATGAATACAAGCAAAGTCACCAAAAAATGCTAATAATACATATATATTTAAAATGTACAAGTAAAGCGCTTTAAAATGATACCAAACACGGTATAATTATCTTAACTTTATTTTTTTACTCTGGTTGTTTTGTCCGCTAGAGGACGCCGCATTAGATTTTGTAATACATCATATAACTTATAACCAGCGGACAATTAAGACGCTTCTAATGATATGACATATTATGTCGAATTCTTTAAATTTTAGCATTGCCGTAGTCGGGTAAAAATAATAAATTAAAGGAAGGTAGGTTTTGTAAGATTTGCGCAAAGTAAATTACAAGTACCGTCACAAAAATCACTTCGTAGATCATTAGAGTTATGTTTATGTTATTTCATAAATTATAGATTAGTATGATTACTGACAATAAAATATAATTTATTTGTAAATAAGTTTTGAAATATGTAGATACTAACGTGTTAACATACATTATTAAGGTCTAGTAAACACTGACCCAAAAGTAGCTGAACAACTTATGCGTCAAAAGTATATTAACACGGGGCAACATTTAAAATATACTTTGTTAACCTAATTTTGTCTTCACCGCTGTTTAGTGACTTTTGATACAATGATGTTCAGCGACATTTGGATTGAAGGTGTACAGCGACTTTAGGAATACTAGTGCACAGATACTTTTGAAATAGTCGTGTGTAACGACTTTTGTAAATTTCTGGTGTACAGGCTATTTTGTTTCCTAGTTGCGACTATAACTTATGGCGTTTTATTGTGAACAGGCGTTTTGGTAAATTGATTCTGTTCATCGACTTTTGGAGCTGACTGTACATAAAATAATTGAACACTCCATTCACAAAAAAATAAACGAAAACAGAACGTATCACGATAATATTTACCTTCCCGCATCAATTACAATAATAATTTATACAAACAACATTCGAAAAAATAACATTTAGGAAAAGTGGTATATCGTATTGAATTATTATCATTCACCTCGTTTAGGGCCGCCGCTACACGGAGATATTGCAGCTTTGCAACGAGGGGCGACTGGGGGCGAGCAAGTAAGCAACTATTGATCAAACTACACGACACTGCACTACTAAATCTTACACGTTTTGAAATATATACCCGGGCGAGTTATATATGTTTGTTTATTTTTCTCTTTCTGTTCAAAACACGCGTTGTACTTCAGCCCACGTGTTAAAATTACTGGTTATTGGTAAGTTTTCATATAAATATTAAATTAACTTTGTTCTTGTTTTGTTAAAAACTAATTGCAAATATGTATGTAGACATTCGTGTTGTTATGTATTGGGAAATGTCTTTTGTGTTTTTAAGTTTTTATTTAAAACACGGTTCGTTGTTGGTTGTTGATGAAAAATGCATTTTGATTGTGTGTATTGTTTTAGTAACTGATGTTATCGTTGAAATCGTGTTGGAAATAGTATAGCCACAGTGCACCTATGGAAACGAGTCAACAAACCACAGACCTAGAAATGATATACAAAGGTTTTTTTTTATTAAATTATGAAATAATTTTATGCTACTTATTAAAATGGTTTATGAAAACCTAAGATTACTCTGCACATCAATAGTTTTAAAGAGAACAGTGTTTAAACAGATTAGTAAGTTAATAATATATGTTTTCACATGACTAATTCCCAGTTTTCAATACCATCATTTTTAGCACAGTTTCTTCTCTCTCTCTCTCTCTCTGTATGTGTTGTGTCTTTAATTGATTTTAATTTGACTGCACGGTTGGTGCGGTGGCTGGGCCACTGGCTGCCGTGCAACGTGTCGTGGGTTCGATTGCCGCACGGAACAACACTTTGTGTGATCCACAAACTGTTGTTTCGGGTCTGAGTGTTATGTGTATGTATGTGAAATTGAGTGTTTGTAAACGCACCCATGACACAGGAGAAAATCCTAGGGTGGAGCAACGTTTTTTTAGGAAAAAAGAATCTTAATATTATTTACATGTACACGCTTTAGTGTGACGCTCATATTTTGGAAACACTGCACTAATGGCTGTACGATCCTGTTGGGATACAAATTAACTGAAAAGTCTGGCAGCAGACTACAATATTGTTTGAAATAAACAGATCGGTAAGTGGCAGGATTCTATAAAACATAAACATATTAGATAACCAGAATGGATATTATATGTAGAGATAGGGTCGGCAATAAATATTGCCCCCTCTGTACATTACACAGGTCTACACAAAATACTCTGCATTTATTTACCGGTAACGTTGAACACCGAAATCACTTGACGCCGCGCGCACAACGCGTCAGCTTTTTATTAAATCTATGCGGTCGCATTGACAAACGAACCAGATAAATTAAATTATTTACAATGGACAGTGCCCGTACTGAAAGGAGAAAACCACGGAAACTTATGAAAGTAGATGAAGGTCTATCTCTATCTGAATATGTGAGGAATAATAAGAAATACTGGAATGATGTGTTTAATCAACTGGATACGTACCATGGATCTGTTGTAAGTTAAAATATTTATTTTTTTGTCTATACATATGTCGGTATAAATAGTTGATTGTTGATGAACTGCTATAAAATTTGGCTGTGCCTAACTCCTTAACGATTGCATATTATTATAATGTTGTGTGTATTATCAATAAACAGTATAAAACAAAGTCGATTTATCTGTTGCCATATCTCTATATGTATGCTTAAATCTTTAAAACTGCACAGCTGATTTTGATGTGCCTTTTTATAAGATGGAGTGATTGAAGAGAAAAGTTTATAAGTATAATAACATCCATTAAATAGTAGTTGTAGAAGCTTAGTATCACATTGCACCCATGCGAATCCGGGGCAGGTTGCTAGTTTGTATGATAATTCTATGTACGTATACGAAGAAGAGAAGAAGTTACCACTGTATAACAATTTTTTTTCATATAATATGAATAAAAATAAATATTTGTAATTTAAATCTCTTCTCGTTTCTAGGAAAACGAAAGCAAAATGTTAGCAGAAGTGCTGCCAAAGGATTTATATGAAAAAGTTTGTGCGTCACTAAATATTCCGAGGACTGAAGTCGAGGAATCGAAGCCAGAAGGGATTACAGGTATTTATTTACTAACTGGCCTTCTTAGGTCTTCTTTTCAAAAGGTAGTTCTCCACTAGGGTTTTCTCCTTTATTATGGATGTGTCTACAAACATTCAAGTTAACATAGGAACTTTCCGTACTAAACACGTAAGAATTATAATATGTAGATCTCATGAACTCATGAACTCGCGACATTCTGCCCAGCACATTAGTATTTTTATATGGTTTTATGACCAGCATGAATGAAAAACTATCATAAATCTGTCTATTTGTTTCAGTAAATCTACCGCGGCGTATAGTAAAAGAACCACAAATATCTACTAGAAAATGCCTGTATGTGAACAGAGAGTTGGACTCGGATACAGAGGTAGAGTTTTGTGCCAGGTACGCGCATAGGATCGTAAAAAGTTTTATGTTTTCATTATGATAAAGTTTTAGTTTTTTTTCTGAGGGGAAGATCATAAACTGTCTTCTCGCGTCCAGGGTTGGGCGAGAGGGAGTGTCAGACTCTCACTGACTAAAACCCCCCCATTCATTTTCCTGCTCTGGACCGAGGTCGCAGTGACTCATTGCGCTTATCCCGCAACCTCGGCTGAATCTCAGCCCTATACGGCCCCGTCTGTGGAGGTCTATTAGTTCTTTGAGGCGCGAGCGGAAAGCTACGCACAATTATGATAAAGTTCGGAATTATAATGATGATAAGGACAAAGACACATCAGGGGTTTTGCAATTGTGCTATCGCTTGTTATAGTTATATATTATGGAGTAATGGAATTGAGAAAGATTGGGTTGAAAGGACCTCTGCAATCTCACCCACGCGGGGTAACACGACGCAAGCATTGTTTCATGTCGGTTTTCTATAAGTTCGCGAGAGTTGTCACCCCTTTTTTTGTCAGGGGAAAATCATCCAATGACTTCTCCCGCCCAGGGTAAGGCGAGAGAGAGTGTCAGACTCTTACTGACTAAAAACCTACGTGGCAAACAGAGCCGAAGCATTTTTTTTTTTTTGTATTTCGGATGTCTTATCCGAGACAAACGAGCAGACGGATTACCTGATGGTAAGCAATCAGCGTCACCCATGGATACTCGCAATCTGCAAGAAGATACTAAAAGTGCGTTGCCAGCTTCTGGAGAGTTGTACGGGATTTAAGGATATGGGTTTGATTGAGGATTGTGTCTAGGAAGGATTGGGCCTCCGGTAACACAACATAATAAACTTAACGCTGGTTTTCTGTGAGGCCGTGGCATCACTGCTGTTGAGCCGGCCCATTCTCACACAATGAAATGACTTCCTCACGCATGTATTATGTGTAATCATTGATAAAATAGCTTAGTATACGAAAATCATTGTTGGTTTCAGCGATGAAGAAGAAAAATCTAACATTTACTTGGACATGTTAAACAAACCGATTCGGGAGCAGATAACATGGCCTACTCGGTACCTACAACCTGAAAGGGAAGACGAAAAGAGTCTTGTCAAGAAGGCCGATGACCTCACTGACAGAGTAAATACTGTTTTGGGTTTTTCTATTTTAGAAACCACAGCACACATTGTAAGCACAGCTAAAATTAATAGTTCAGAACCCATAATTCTGTTGTTCGGCTTTGAAAGGTCTAGCGAAGCATCTCACGGTTTTTGCTAAGTTTCACCTTCATGTTGCTTTTCCTTATATTGACATGGATGTAAATTTCAAGCCCGAAATCGATCAAAGAATCGCCAAAGTTTATATCCATTATCAATTATATCAATTAAAAAAGATTCATTCATATTCGTCTATAAATTCCAGAGATTTGAATGTACAAGCAGCGATAAACGTACATTTTGTTTTTATGCATTTTGTATCACAGTTTAATTTAGTTTTATCCAAAAATACTTAATGAATTTATGTACTTATACATTTTTTAATGTTTTGTTTTATGTGAATATAATAAAAAAAATACCTTTTTATTCAGATTGCCAATGAATTTTGTGAATACATGAAGCAACTCGGAGGTGATCAACAATCGAAGCTGTTCACACCCAAAGCTATCAAGGAACTGTTCCAAGTAAGTGATGGTTAATTTAAAAATAAAATACAATAATCAACGTCTACGTAGGTACATACATATATAAAAATAAACTGCAAAGTTTTGGTAATCGCATATCTTAACAACGACTGGACCAAGTTCGAAATTCTTTTTTGTTGTTGTAATTTTTATTGTCTGGCGAGAAGGTTCCTATGACAGAAAATTTTAGAAAAATCTATAATAATGAAGCAGGGGCGGGCCGCTATTAATTACTAGAAAGAGATTAGATATAAGTTTGTTTTACGTGTAAATTTTTTTATAATGGCTGTTCCCTAGTATTTTCTCATGTAACAAACATCCACGTTATACGAGTAAATACTCCGAGCTAAAACAATAATTTGTAAAGTTTTGTCTGGGAATCGAACGTGCGGCTCGTGTAGCAGGCGGCTGCACAGCAAACAGTGCGATTGATACGTGACACACGTCGTGCTATCGATAGTACAGTCGTGTTGTAAAATAATAGGAATTTTGATGAGGGGTGGAATTAAAATAACTTCTCCTAGGTGGGGAGTATCAGATTCTTAACTTCTGACCACTTTGTTCCTTATACTGCTGCGATCCTCGACACCATATAAAAAAATATTGATAACGGATAATTATTTTGTATGTCCGTCTAGTAAATTATTGAAAATCATAAGACAAATACTTATTTTTATTTCATTTCGGAAAGAAAAATTTACGAATGTTTTTTTTTATTATTTAAATTTTTCTTTATAATTATAATTATAATTTTTTTTTCTTTGATTCGAAATATTGCGTACCGTCACTCGTAGGTACGACGACGTAGAAATGATGTCGCTAGTGCGAAATACAAAACTTTAATTGGTGATACCTTAGTTTGTGTTTTCTTACGCGAACAAAATAAAAAAATACTTGTCTAGGAGGGGAGGGATTGGGCCTCTAAGTAACCTCACTCACGCAGTAAAACACAAGTAAGTGTTGCCGGTTTTCTGTGAGGCCGTGGTATCACTCCGGTCGAACTGGCCCATTCATGCCGGGGTTCTACCACACTTACACAAAACATTTTATCTTGCAGGTAGAATTTGACACTCATGTAGCGCAGAGTCTGTGCGTAGTGCCAAAAGAACTGCCATGCGTCGAAGATAAAATCGCCAACATTACGGGAAATCCAACGGTGATGTATTGTACATGGTCATTCTTGATATTACACCATGAACAAAAGTTTTCTATTTTCTTAATCTAGGCTTTATTTTAATCTCCACGCTCGTTTAGTAATTCGCGTTTAGAGGTTACTAGTTGCAGTTTTAAACCAAATCTGGAATTTGTATGTATTTTAAGCAGTTCTTTCAATTTCAAAAAACATGTTGGCACATTTGTCCGCCCTTGTACTATAAAAGTTTATTTTGAAGAAGATAAGATACTATTTCTTTTATTTATCATAGGTACACTCAAAAATAATTTTATTCTATGTAAAAATAGATACTAGATTTAACATTACTTACTCCGTCAAACAGCTATCTCGTTACGCATCGTTGAATCGTGAGATCACCAAGGACATCAAAGCTGAACAGCGCACTCCGAACGTTACAGCATTCAGTCAGAGCCTCCCAATGTCCTCCCAATATCATCCACCTCGGAACGAGACTAAGAAACTATGGAGATCTGCTAAACATGTGCCTAGAGAACTGGTCACCCTCAAAACTGTTTGGGAAGGAATCACTAATCTTAGGTAAGATATTTCTTCTTATAAACGCCGCGGGAGCTAGTTCCCGCGGCTTCGCTCGCGTGGTGGGTAAAGCTTATATGTGTCAATCCAGGGTATCTACAAATCAACAAATCAGTCCACCAGTTTTAACGTGAAAGAATAACTAACATACATCCATAAATTTACATAAACTATCACATTAATAATATTAGAAGCCGCTTGTAACAATTTTATAATTATTTCTATAAGTTGTAGCTTCTGATCTATGATGGTTGTGATGCATTCAAGAATTCAAGAATAACATATTGCACAGTCAAATTTTAAAATAAAATAGAATGCGACCCTGTTGCTTAATATTGTTTAGAATAGGGTCTCGACCCTATTCTAAACAATTATTGAATAAGGAAATCAACATTAAAAATCACAAAAATGCTAGCTATATGAAGTGGATGGAGGAGGTTCATCGCCTTCTCCATCCCCCACGTCATTCATATAACCATGACCCTCTGAGACACGACCAGCGCATGAGCGCATGAGCTGGTCGCTGCCTCAAAATGGATGACCACAAAGGAATCCTGTAGACAGTCATAGGTCGCACCATCCCCAAATAAAACCTCCAGCGTTTGGAGGGCTAAGGGCCTAGGCTGGGAAGGAGGTTTATATCAAACCACGATTTAATTGTTTTTTCAAAATCTGTTTCAGGAGTGTGAAGGAGTACTGTCGTTGGATGATCCATCACCCAGAACATCGTCGACCGCCATACTTGAAAAGTCTTGGCCTCTTCGACCCTGTAGTGCTAGACGCGAGACTTACTTTCGAATCGGAATACCAGATCACCCCACCCATATCATCTCCCCATGACCCACCAGCTCCCATAGAAAATATGCGAACTGGATTTTCAGAATCGATTAACCACGAATAGAAAAAATTGAAATCGATACGTGAGATTATATCAGTTCTTATCACATCACTATGTTCTACAACACTTATTGGTTATGATATCTATCGATTGTTAGTAATCATATTAGGTCAACTATCTGAAACTATCGCTACACTTGATAGGAAACTTATTAGAAAGATATCTACATTACTTTGTTCTGTGACCAAAAATAAATTGATTACTGTCCTAAACATGTTTACACTCTTTTCATATTTTCAGTTGCGACATTTACTTGATGAATTTTATACACACTCTAGCATACACAGGTTTTATTTCTTTAAAATATTTATATACATTTTAGACTTAATTATAAAACTAAATGGTCGAAAATCTAATAAAGAAATTTTACAGACTGAATTGCTTCGTCTGGCGGCGTCTGTATAGACGTAATAATTATTCACAAATATATACAAAACGCAGTTGCCACAAAAATAAATATTAGTTTTCTGAAATTGTTGAAACATCAGAGAATAAAATAAATAAACAAAATAATTAAGTGCTACACAGTACATTTTATCAGTATTGATAACGTATATTATACTTTATAATTACAGCTTAATCTTAAGGTCGTATGTATGCAAATATATAATACTACTTATACGTATGAAAGTACAAGGTCACCCACTTCACTTGTGAAATCTCTATAAAAACTCTACACGGTCTACTATCTACGTCCACTGTCTACTGAAGACAGAAGACGTCATCAATGAAAGAAATTCCTGCGAGTTCAAATCGTGGGCAAGGTGCCAGTGTTTATGCATCGGCAGTTTCACACGAACGGTTCTTGTAACCACTCGAGTAGGTACATACGATAACGCGTCATTAATACGAAGCAAATACAATGACATAAATGAATAAATTACATTGTGCCGTGTGTTGAATTGTCGTCTAACAGTATTCACTGCCTGTCACTGCTAGATAGTAGATAACGTTTATTTGCTTCTATGATAACGATCATATCTCACCTTATATAAAACAGTAAGGAGTCTAAGATTATCATATTGACGATTTTTTTTAAATGCATCAGTAATCTGTCAATATGGAGAAGGAAGCCAGTGAACGTGAGCCGTACTCGGAGTTTGATTCGGTGTTATATCGTGAAGTGGGACCGTTCGGGAAGTACCAACTACTGACTATAGCGCTACTGGCTTTCCCATCACTCGTCTGCGCGTTCATGGCGGGAGATTATATATTCACCGCGGGCAACCTACCCACCCGGTGTGCGGTGCCAGAATGTGACGACCCGAACCCAGAATACGCACCGCAATGGATATTGAAGGCAGTTCCCGCAGCGGAATCCGGCTTTGATAACTGTCGCCGCTTCGCAAACGTCAGCAGCAATGTGATTTCATCGGATGAACTTTGCCCAGCCGCCTTATTCGACAGAGATAAAATCGTACCATGTGACGCATACGTCTACGAGAGAACGAACACTATCGTGTATGATTTCAATATTGAATGTCAAGAGTGGCTTCGCGCGTTGCCAGGCACACTGAACAGTGCAGGAGGAATGGTGGCACTCGTGCTGGCTGGCTTCATTTCAGACCGTCTTGGACGTCGAATGTCTATAGTTTTCTTTTCATTTAATATTGCTTTGGTGGGAGTAATTCGTGCATTTTCTGTGAATTTCGCAATGTACACTGCTTTGCAGTTCTTGCAAACTGCGATCGGTGGGGGCGCGTTCAGCGCCGCCTACATTTTGGCGGCTGAGATAGTGGGGCCCGCATATCGAGTAAGAACGAGCGCCACCATATCTAGCATGTTTGCCCTCGGCCAGGTTATTTTGGGGCTGTTAGCTTTCGCTATTCCTGCATGGAAAACTCTCACACTGGTTCTGTACATCCCAGTATTTCTCATAATCTCGTACTACTGGATACTATCAGAAAGTTTCCGTTGGTTACTCAGCAAGAATAAGCAAGCAGAAGGAAAGGCCACTTTAGAATATGCAGCTCGGCTGAATAAAAAACAGATTTCTGACAAAAACATGAACTTTTTACTGACTGCTATTCAATCTCAGATTGATGAAAATAAAGTCGTCAACCAGGAGAATCTGTTCTTTAGAGTAATCAAATCTCCCATCATACTACGGAGATGTTGTACGACGCCCATCATGTGGATGACCACGGTGTTCATTTACTATGGACTGTCGATCAATTCTGTTAGTTTAACAGGCAATATGTATTTAAATTACATTGCGACTGCTGCGATCGAGATCCCCGGCTACTGGACAGCCGTTTTACTGTTAGATAGAGTAGGCAGAAGACCAACATTGTTCTCTGGTTTCTTGATCTGTGCAATTTGCTGTTTAGCTTTTGCTTTTGTTCCTAAAAGTATGTACACTTTGTCTTTGATTTTATATTTGATTGGAAAGTACTGTATAGGTCTAGTGATGACCTCTTTGTACCTTTACACAGCTGAACTCTATCCAACAAGGTACAGACACTCGTTCTTAGGTTTTTCTTCTATGTTGGGTCGCATTGGATCTGTAATTGCACCTTTAACTCCCGCCTTAATGATCTATTGGCCCGGTATACCTTCAGTTATGTTTGCTAGTACAGCATTCATATCTGCTATTCTAGTCTTAACGCAACCTGAAACCCGCGGCCAAAAAGTACCTGATACTATTGAAGATGCTGAACGCATAGGAAAAAGTATATAACACAACAAAAATATTTTATACTTGTTAAAATTCTTTTTTCAGTATCTGCTTTATTTATTTCTATTAATTATTTAAATTGTTAAAAGTTGTTTAGTCTTCAATATACAGGTAACTCCATCTATGTTGTACGTGACGAACTATGTTTCCAATGTGACGAACTCGCTTGATTATCTCGTTTCCCGCCCACGATTTTCACGCAAACTCGTTCTTCAGTAGACTGCAAGATGTTTAAATAATACGCTAGATGGCGTTGCCTCAAAGTTTAGTTAATAAGTATTTAATATAGTGTATTTTATTATATTTGTTATTTATTGCATGTAATTAATTAATTAAAACTATGTATAAAATTCTGTTAAATGAGTTCAACAAGAACTACAATATAGATCTACGCAAACAAAGAAAAAGTTCCTATTCCCTGAATGATCTATATAGTTGACATTGAAATAAAAGATGTTTTTTGTATTCTAATCCTTGGATACTTTGTGTTTTTTTTGCATCCCTTGTCTTTTAATTTATTTTTAGTAATTTTATTTTGTTAAGAAACATGCCTTGTGGGAAACGACCGCTCGTCAAAAATTGGGACAAACCGAAGCGCTTAAGGGTGATCACCCCGTCCCGGTACGAGCAAACTTTAGATAGCGTCAAGGTCCATTGGCAAAATGTAATCAAAGAATTGGAGATGTCCTACAAAGATGAACAGGTGACGATAAGAATAAGTGCATCTTCTAAATAAGTATTCTACAATAGGTTAGGTTTGCATTATCGTCATCCGTGCACCTTAGAATACAGTTGTTCTGTATTCTGAGCCGTGCACAAAGCTTGTACAAGGTATGTATTAGACTCGTTTATATTTTGAATGTGCGTGTGAACCATGCTGCAGTACAAATAAAGCTCGATCGGACTGATATCAAGGCCTTACAGAAAACTGGCGTGAAACAACACTTCGCTATGTGAGTAAAGTTATCGAAGGCCAAAACCTTCCCCATTCCCAATTTTAAGTAACAAAATGTTTGCATCAAACTCCTCCTCTGATTGTTTACCATCAGGTGTACACCAGTCCACTCGTTAACGTTACAACTGCTAAGCATAAGGGTCTTTTTTATGACTAGATTAAGCTTCCATCAATTAAACTAACTTTAGTAAAGAAAGGTTTGGTAAATGTGGAATTCTTAACTACTAAAATGACCATCTTTAGCACCTGTAAAGAGATCCTCTAAATACGAATATAAACTCCTAATAAGCGAACAAATGTATTTAATAAAATCATAAATCAATATCCTCTTTATAGTCCACCATTTAGAGTGAACTCTGCCCAGTGAATTATGCGTACTGGCAAACTCATTGAGCGAACGTACCTACATAATATATCGTTTCCGAATACATATGTAAGAGAAATAATATACAGTATACCTAAAATTATTTTGATACTAATAAATGATTATTAATTTGTATACCTACTAATATTATTGTATTTTATAGTTTATTTAATTATTATTTTTTAGTTTTGGGAATCAAATAGTGAAACTGTGCGTGAATTGGTGGGTCCTGTCATATTTAAAAGAATTGCCAAGATTTTTGATCTACCCGAAGAAACCAAAATGTACACGCCAATAGATCACTCTACAGTCCCAGCGAAATCTGAAGAGTTTTATATTAAAAAAGAAGTAAATATTTATATAATATAATAATGTTTGACTTTTTTAATCGCTTATTTGTGCGATGATCTTGTATCCGTTTCTATCAGAACACCGCCTTATTTTAATTTCATTGCAACAAGTTACAATAAGATGCTTGTGTATATGAATGTACTGATTTGTGTAAAAAATATAAATGAAATAAAACCGGTCAGTCCCGGTTAGCACCGCTGACCAGTCATATTCTGCATCAAATTTTCTTCACAAATATTGGCTTTAAAATACAATTTAGTTCCATTCTGCATCGAGAGATGATCTCCGGCCACCGTAAGCGCGGGTCTACGGACGGCGAGTAAGAGTTGCTCGCCGCCCGATCAGAACCAGACGTTTAACTAGCCAAAAAAAAAATCCATTCCGCATACTGTTGGCCGATGTTTGCTTTCAGATGGTATCAAAACCTGGCATTTCTACTATGGGACTTGAGAAAGAGCCTTCGGTGGAAGAAGAAGAGACCGAACAGCCCGCAGAAGAACCAGACTGGTCCGAAAGTACAGTTGAGAACAGCGACGATAAAAGAGCAATGCGATCTAGCAAAACAGTGCACATTCCTAAATCAATATCCAAAATGCTGTCGAAATCTTTTTCTAGATTCATGTCAAAGGCGATGGCAAAACCTGTCGGCGAGAATTTGACCCCACAAGCCATATCAGCTTATACACTACCAGAATCATTGGCACACACCGACGATGACATACTCGTCATACCAGGAACACATGTAGAGTAATTATCTGTAACGTTTATTTGGTTTAACATAAAATTAATTCGCATACCCCTTATTTGTTAAAGAGCCCCTAGGTATAAAGTAAGTAAACTGTATTTATTACCAGAAATGTCTGCTAAAAACATCGTAAGAAAAAATTACTCATACCTCTAAAGTTAGAAAAAAATACCGTCAGAAAAACTACGTAAAAATTACATTTTGCTTTCATTATTTCTTCCATCGAATTGTATGTATAATGCTTATTCCTTATATTCACATTACAACTAGTAATATTATGCAAACTCATTTTATTGTAAAAATTATAAAAGACACGGAAATAACACGTATGTTAAGTTATATGCGGTAGTTAAATCTAGTATACTATTGAAAACAGTAAGAAGATTGGTAACCTCCACCAAATCTATTCATTTTCAGGTACTATCATCGCCGAAGAAAACCGAATCCATTTTACGATATGCTTTACTGCACTGAATCAGAAACTGACATGATAAAATGGAAATCCAAATATAAACAAAAGACTTTTGAGGTTTCTGCTTCTGATGAATTTAGCAAGAAAGCGGAAATATTGACGAAAAAGGTATAATAAAATATGTTAAAGTAGGTGTTAACTTGACCTGTAAATTCACAGATCTTGTGATCGTTGGTTAAATAACCTACTTGCATAGTAACATGCAGATACTAGCTTCTGCAAGCATGCTGTACCAGGGTACACAATTAGGCACCGCGGCCTCGGTCCAGCAGAGCAAGAGAAGGAACAGGGCGGAATACTTCCTCCCGCCCCACCCTGGGCGGGAGAAGCCACTTGAGATTTTCCCCTTACAAAAAAACTAGGGTACATAAACGCGACTGCCTGTAAACCTACCTGGCCGATGCCGCCAGCTGGCAAAAAAATAGCCATTGTTATTCCAGTTTATAACACATTTATAATCACTGTGCCAAATTTCATTCGAATTCGTTTATCAAATTTTATTAAAGGAAAAAGAAAGATAGTTTGTAAGTATGGATACATCATGTTTATTTCAAACATAACATTTCGGGATTATAATATTAATAGAATTTAGCTGTGTTACATTCAAAATTGTAGTCATTGTCATACGGTTGTCGAAAATAGAGGATAATAGTTCAATGACCTCAACGCGTGCATCGATACAACCTCAATAACATCGCATCGCATAAGTGTCGGTAGTTTTCTTACAACAATAACTTTGACAATGCAAGGTTAGTCTTATGACTCCCCAACGGCCGCAGTGGCAGACAGTTCAGATCACGCGACTGTCTCCGACCAGCGTAAGATCGGGTTTACGAACGGTGAGCAAGGGACTGACCCAAACCAGAACCGAGCGTATCCCTACAAGAGACAACAGTCTACCACATGGGGTCCAACAGGGCTGATGTTCATCCGGGTTTGCGGGTGCAGCGCAATAATTTACCGTGGCTCCAGTCTGGAACATAACCGGGGATCCGGGTCAAGCACAATAAAGTACCTAGACTAAGCGAGCCTTAAAAGGAAGAGGTGGGTAGGTTACAGTAAGAGTCTGCCACTCCCTTTCGCCCCTAAGCTGAGAGAAATAATTCAATGATATTATACACTCAAATACAAAAAAAAAAAAATATTAGTCCTGCCTATAACCTTACTATGTTAGTGAAGAGCTGTGATTCCATCGGATAATGAAAGTGAGAGAACATGAAATAAAAACACGTTTTTGCACTCACTTCTGTCCTTTAATATTAAATAGGTTTAATTGCTTGCAAATCAAAATTACTAGATTCTTTTTTCAGATTTCCAACGACTTCTTCGATTGGTGGGTCAGTTTGGGCAGTGTTGAATTCAAGAGTGAAATCAAGAGTGCAGATGACATAGAAGCATTATTCCAGGTATACTCCTTAGTCAATACAATAATTTATGTACTTAGAATAAAGAAAAATACATTTATAGGTATAACATACATATAGTTAGTATAGTTGTGTAGGTATTATGCCTATTATGCCTAGTGGAATATTTATCTATAAATCTATGCTAAACTAATTCAAATTAAATTATGATTATGATATTTTCCAGGTGTATTCCTTAAAGCAGTTTTTCTGGATTAGGGAATGAGGGGGAGGGGTTAGGCCTCTGGTATCCTGTACGCACACAGTTAAACACGCAGGTTCTCTGTGAAGTCGTGGTATCACTTCAATTGGGCCGGCCGTTTTTTGATTTCGTTTCGAGGCGAAGCATAGCTCTCATAAACTTGACTACACTTACACAACAACGGATCACAAAATAACATATATTTTACAATACTTGAATAATAATTTTCAATATGCCAAGAAATCTTCTATTAATCAATTTATTATTATGCCATCAAACATATTTTTTTCCATAATCAGTTATGAAAATATATAAATTGCACACAAAAAAACTATACACAACAAATATTGCAAAAGTCCTTCTGGCAAAATGTGCTGTAATTGTACGTGTTTAAGGTACTTTTTACAGTGTTTTATGTTTTCCAGGTGTGGTTCGACCAGCATGCGTCACGTGGGATTGTCCTAGATCCTCAGATCATACCGTGTGTACTGAGGTCCATTGCTACTAGTACTGGAGTATATAGGGTACGATTTGATATACATTTTGCACTTTTATATTGTACCATTGTATTCCCTCCATACCCATTAAAAGGTGGCGCAACTAATGGCAACTGCGCAACGTTTCACAAGTTCGTTTTTCGAATCCACAAATTTTTGTCTTCAAGTCTGGGGGTGATGTGTAAGAAAAATGAGGTAGCTACCAACAAGAACTAACAAATAGGTACTTCTGAAATGTTAAAACAACTCTATATGAATTTTCTATACAATGTCGTTTAATGATTCTAAGTATGTCGTAAACTTAATGGATGAAGGTTATTTAAGGTATTTTTATTTTTTTCATTAGGTGGAATAATTCCTCTTTGGTTGAGGAAACTACCCAATTTAATTTTTGTATTTTATTTGGTTAGGCCTCTACAGAACTGCAACGGAAAATAGGCACTAAGGTATCAAGACAATTTCACTGGTCACTGTACGTACATGTATCTGT